TGAAACGAAGGAAGGGGAGAAAAGGATAGAGGGGACAACTGAATAAGTTTCTGAAGGTAGTTGATTAAACCTTTATGAAGTTATTCGAATAATTCTGAAATCGTGTGGCAATTTATTAGCTAGTAAAAAAAAAAATTGTGGCTCTAATTGAACTCGTAATTCTTTGTCGCCATGGAAATTATAACTATTTCTTGAAGGTTTCACATTTATTAAGCTAACATTAAGATGATCAAGCTAACATTAGAATTGGACTTGTTAACGCCATCAATTTTTCGAATTTAAAATCAAATAAAATGAAATAGGCAAATAGATGATTAAACGAAAAAGCTAACGTAAATGAAATAATGACGATATGTAAGCATAAGTGGACAAGCAATTGGACAAAGTGTTATTTTTGTATGATGCATTTTTTTTTTTTTCTTTTATTCTATTTTTTATTTTTTGATGTAGGAAAAAAAAAAAGAAATAAGAAAAGTAAGATTGTTAGAGAGGATAAAAAGAAAAGAAGCATTTGAAGTGTACTTTATGAAGGGAAGCTAATTCACTTGGTAGCTATGTAGTGAAGCAAATTTTTATATTCATTTCAACAGAGGACAGGAGACAGACATAATTTTGTTTTTTCTTTTTTTTTTTTTTACGGATAGATATTCTTCTACTGAATGAATGAATGAATGAAGAGAATCTTAAAGTGATCTTAGCAAGAAAGAAAGAAAAGCAAATACAAAGAAGAAATGGTGGTAGTACGGTATATTAAAAGAAGAAATTGTAAATTTTCTTTCTATTTCATCGTTTTTCTTTCTCTTTCTTTATCACATTTTCCTTCATCTTTCATCAAATTTCAATTTTCATCAATGATTTATCGTTATAATGAAATTTTGTTGAACAATAAATATCATTTATCAATATCTATCAACATAGATGTTAATATTCTTTAATAAATACATTTTTTCCAATTGTATTTGCATTATGAATGAAGAATGAAAGAAAGCTCTCTTTCTCATTGTATTATTTAAATATTTGAGAAGATTGGATAAAATTTAAAAGGGGTAATTAGTGTCGTAGCAATTAGTTAGCATATATATATATATATATATTTGCTAATAAATATAAATAAAATGACCAAATGACCATTATGTATAATTCATTCATATATTGATCAAATTTTAAGCTATCTAATAATGATGATGTTGTTATATTTGATGCAATAAAATGATTTCAAATTTACACATGATTATGCTAATTAGGTCCTTCTTTCCCAATTTTCATGTTCCTTGTCAGCAAATTTTGTCACTTTTTTTTCTTGCTCTTTCCTTACTAGATTTTATTTGTTTACAAATTTCTCTAAAATTAAATTATGTGCAAAAAAAAAAAAAAAAAAAAAGAAAAAGAAGTAAAAGGAATTTCTGAAGATCTTTTGCCATATGCTATAGATTCCTCTATGTGATAATTTCATTATTTGATAAAAAGAAAAAAAAATATTTTGCACCAAATAATAAATTAGAATAAGACAAAAAAAAAAAAGGTTCAATGTTAACAGAAAATTTTCAATACTATAACGTTCAAGATTTGCCAACTTGATAGCATGAACTTACTGATTTCGTTCTTATTCTTCTCACTTTGGAATAGATAATGTCTAACCTATTGACCTTTCATAAAATTATGTGATTCAATTGCTATTCGCTCATCAATATTTTTGTTCACCAACTGATCACTCAGCAGTATTTATTTCCAGAATCAGCAATTATCCAAGTACAATTAACGATTCAGGAATTCCTGATGTCTGACCTACCTCAGGCATATCGCTAGGTGATCCAATTTCCATAACTTGATACCTCTCTCCATCTACCACTACCTCATCTATATTTAACAAAATATAAAATTTCAAGGTAGCGGATATATACTGAACGGTATAGTGTGTTATTAAACTTGGGTAATTTAATTAAGACGAAGAGTGCATGTGTTATGTATGTGTATGTGTGTGTGTGTGTGTGTGTGTGAGTGTGTATGTATGTGTATGGTGGTGATAGCATGTTTCCGGATGGTCGAGGGATGGGATGTTAGTCTGTTAGGGTGTGGCGAGCCTGACGCCTTCCCCGTCTCCATGGGGCGGAGATGGGCAAGGAGACCCTGAGGCTATTAAGGCCCCTGACTAGGAATGAAACCGCCCGTACTTTTGCTCCGTTTTCATTGTTCTGGCTGCAATACCGAGGCGGAGCGAGCATCGTTCGGATATTCTTTGAGGGAAGGAAGGCCTTAGCGTCCTTGTCGGACGTTTTTTCCGAGTTTGTGTATTTGTCTGTGTGCTGCTTTGTCGGTAGTTCTAATGTGTACTGCTGTGTTGTTGGTGTAGTGTGTGTTGTTGCTGTGACATCAAAATGATGCTTAAAGTCATAGGGAGCTTAAAGCGGTAATGTGAATTGAATTGTAAGCACAGGGAGCTAATACGGTTGATGAAATTGTTAGCATAGAAGAGATGAAAAACCGGCTTTCGAGAATAGCATCATATCCTTCTTACCTAACCATACAGTCCTTCACTAATTCATTGGCGCATTTGTACTGTATATGTGAATTTTCATTCTTAATGACATATGATGACATGTCGCATTTTTCATTTTTGATTAACTTCTTATTACAGTTACGTATTCATTTATTCTGTCACGTGGAAGGGTTACACCAAAATTTTGCTGTTTATATTTGGAGATACACAGCTAATAATTGAAGATCTAAAGATTACTCAATGCTAATATTACTTAGTGACGACGTACCGTTCTGAATAGCCATCTAATCTTTTTGTAACAGATATGTGCATTCACTAGTAGATACAATACTGTGGGTAAAAAGTAGAATATCCCGTAACACTCATACATATTTGTTTAATTATTCGTTGTTAAATTATTTTCGAAATGCTCATTTTTCTGGAAATAACTCCTACATTTTTTTTTTTTTTGAGCAAAAATCTCTTTTTAAGAAAGGAAGTTTCGGAATGTTGACATACTATTATTTACTAATTTATTTGTAGAAAATCCAATGATCGAATCACCAGGGAATCAGAAGGCTTTTTGCTAGCAATTCCCACCGATAGAAAGAGCATTTCAAAAATTAATTTACTGAATGTTTGGGTATTTCTTTTAGTGCTTCCCATAAATTCTCGTTTTGTTATCTCAGCAATGTACTGTATCAGTTTAGCGTCATTTTTTCCATGCTATAAACTTCACTCAATGCAACTTTGATACTATTTTTACATTTTTTTACTCACTGAACTAATAAATTTTAAAATTTTATTTCACTCTGAGAGAAATCTGTATTTAAAGGTGTTTCAGATGACGAATCTAGGAAAGCTAAATTTTCTCTACTGCTTTTGGGATTGCAAGCAAGCATTTAGTTAATTCAATTTTTGTTTTTCCTTTTTTCTTTTCAATAGCTAAATCTTAAATAATTTATAATAAATCTATCCGTTCCTCTGCGATAATAATTTGATTATAGAAGATGAAGGAAAAATAGAATACAAAATTATCAATGAACTTTAATGATTTAAATGAAATAGGAATAGCAAAAGAGTTGAATGTCAATTTCAAAATTTAAGCTCAATCCAACATCTTCATTCTCTTCCTAATCAAATATGAATCAACGAGATGAAACAATGAATTAGTAAAAGAGAAAATGAAAAATTCTAAACGCATCATCAAACTCAATTTCAATTAACACTCTCTCCTCTAAATGGATATGAAAAAAAAAAAAAAAAAAAGAAAAAAGAAAATTGCGCCACTGTTTCAATTTATTAAATTACATTAATCAATTAATTAATTAATTATGTTAAATATGAGACAATTTGTCATGTATAAATGACGATAATGGATGAGTTACTATAAAATAAATTTTTGAATAGATACTTTAAAATGAATTTTGAAACAGTTTTTGCTTTTCTTTTCGTCAATTTTTGCAAATTGTAACATTTGATAAACTTATTATTTATAATCTTTCAATTGCAATTTGATTGTTGATTGTTGAAAAGCTTCCCTTGATTGATCTCTTTTTTTCACCCATCTCTCATCTATCTATTTATTCAGATCGCTCTCAAATTCATCCATTGATCGATGGTTACTTGTTTTCAATTTCATGTCAAATATTCATTCACACATACATACATACACACATACATACATACACACATACATACATACACACATACATACATACACACATACATACATAACATACATACATATGGGTTGTTTATCATTTAATTTCAAATCATTTAATGTAAAGAGACAACAGCTTTTTTTTTTTTTATTTTATACCAAAATTCCATTTATTTAATTTCATTATTCATTCCCGGTTCTTTCTTCCTTTTTTTTTCTGGCTTCCATCCTTTCTCCATTTCCGGCCTTTCTCTTCTCCTTTCCCTTCTTCCCATATCCTTTCTTGCCATCTACCTTTTTCACACTTATGCTCCTTTACCTACCACAAACCACTCAAAGCCAATTGTCATTGTTTGCTGTGTACTTGTTTATTTAATTATTGATCAACTCTGTTAAATTCGTTATATAGTCGCTTGTCTCCTCCTTCTCCTTTTCCTCTTCTATTAACTAACTACTCTCGGGATAATTCCCAGAACATATGGTTCGGTACGAGTATTTCAGCGATAATTTTCTTCCTTCCTAAATATCATAAATGGTTGCTTATTTCATCACTGATAATTTTATCAAAATAGCTTCACCACTAGAGAAATATTATCATGAAATACATATAGAGACAAAAAAGTAAAAACAAAAGGGAAAAATTGTGTCATTTTGAATCGGAAGATATATTTGTGGATGATGATTAAATTAATAAAAATAATAAAATTATTTCCCAATTTCATGTTGTGCGATTTTCCTATCAATAAGCAAACTGATCAAATTTGAAGGAATGAATTAATGGACTTCAGATGATATTGATAACATTATGTATTCACTGATTAGTTAGAAATTTGAACAATATTCTTTCTTTGATAATAAAGAATGGCTTCTTCATTTCGTTATTCGACGGCTTTTCTTGGTACATTAACTGCGATCTTATATTATCGCTATATTATTGTACCACTCATACTTGTATTACGAATTGTTGATGCGGTAACATGTCCATCTGAATCATCCGGTTCTGGTGTTATCGGTAGTAGCAGTAGTAGTAGTGGCTTGAATAAACCGGCAGCGATCACAAAACGGAAAGTATGTCCAGATTTTAAGAATAATGAAGATGAAAAATATTGCTGTCCATCTCATATTATTCCCGGAAGTTACTATTGCTGCTCCCAGGAACATCTCTATAAAATTGAAGCCGAGCAGGCAGCCGAAATTAGGCGACAGTTCATCAAGAAGTTAGTTTTTTCTTTTTTTTTTTTGAATTTTCATTCTATGCTTTCTCAGTTTTCTTTTTGTTAAATTCAGGGTGCAAAATTTCATTTCCTGTTAATTATCCGTTCCTTATCTTCTCCCTTTTTCTTCTCCTATTGCTAAAACTACAATCATTCATTACGATACTTGATCCGGTTTCATCATTATTCTCTTCCTCTCCTTCTCATTTCTGTAATTTTCATTTCATGTTTTGCTATGCATTCATTTCCTATCCCAGTCTGAATCATTGTAGAGAGTGCAAATATAGGTTGAATAAAATAAAATAAAATAAAAAGAGGAAGAAAAAAACGACATTTCTCTATTGATTATTATGGCTGTTTTAAGGAATGTTACTTGATACCACTAATACTACTTTTGGTGACAATGATGGTGACAACCTAGTCCTAACGTAGAATTAAGCTATGTCTTAAAATGACTTATACATTGTACTTGCATTACTTGCATGAGCGGATGTCCATTTTGAGAAATATGGAAGAGTAAATTTAGTTACATTGACGATATAAGCAATTTTTCTCTCTTTCTTTCGACTTTCCACTACAAAAATATTATATTTCAGTTATATGTGCTAATTTACCGATTATTCATTTTCTTTTTTATTCAATTTACAAATGTACCGATCGTTAATCCTTTTTACCATCTAATTTAATTAAAGTATGAATACCCAAATCAAGGAAGTAAATTATGCATAAATTCCAACTAAATTAATTATACAAAAAGTTATATTAATAACAATTCATGATTGAGTAGTGGTTAAACTAAATTTATAAAATAAATTTCAGAAGCATTTCATAGTCACACTAATAATTTTAGATTTGTTTTTGCACTTTTTATTTTCTTCCTTTTTTTTTTTGAATTTTAATCAAATATTTCCGAAAATCGAACAATCATACCTGAATATGTCAGGACATTTTCAGGGAAGCAATTAAATCCTAATGTTTAACAATATGCTTAGCAATATGCGTGAAGGAGAAAAAGAATAAGTTTATTAACAACAGTTTATAAAAGTAATCAACTTGTCGGTTGATGATGAAAAAAGTTAAAGAAATTGAGGAATAAATTGATTTAAAAAAAAAAAAGAAAAATTCAACCAAAGATGACATTACTAGTTAATATCAAACATTAAACATCACTATGGAATGGAAATAGTGTAGTATAATTCCGGAAAAAAGGATGAAGCAGAATAAATGTAAATAGTTTGATTTTATAAATCATATACCACTTTTTAGTTGAACTTATCATGGTTCTGTTAAATGATAGACTGTGTTAAGAAAAATTTCTAACAGTTACTCTGGTTACTCGTTATTTTATACCGATTCTATCAGTTTTTTTTTTTTTTAGAAAACAAAATTTCACTGATATTTGGAAGATTGTTCAAATAGTTTAATCAATTTCAAAATGGCTTACCTTATTTTTAGCATTTACGTGAGTTATTTCTGGAATATATCACAAAAAAAAAAGGAAGGATACCTTCAGGTGCTTTCAGTGTTTTTTCTTCTTTAAATAAAATTTTAAAAAAAAGATTATGAAACAGTGGCTATCTAGATATCAGTAACAAATAACTGAAAATGATTATGAAATTTAATGCTGATTTGATAAATGACATCGATCTATTAAGTAATTATTCAGAATTTATGAGAATTAGTCATTCACTGATCCCATTATTTGGAATTTTATCATTTAACGTTTGTTTGTTTGTTTTTGCTTAATAAATTGGTTTCCATTTGAAATCTAGAATGGTCGAATTTTTTAAATTAGGAATAATCAGGTAAATGTTGTAATTAAGTGAGATTTGTCTACTTATTTTTAAGATGAAGAAAAAAGGAGGAGAGAGAGAGAGAGAGAGAGAGAAAAGAATTGAGAATTTATAAGGCATTCAAATAATCCTTATTTGGTTTTATGAAAATTTTTGGGTTATAAAAGAGAATTATAAAATAATTATAAAATAGGATGATGTTATTATTTCAAATTGAATTTTTGTTTTTCCCCCGTGAGCTTACTGCTACGATCATTTAATGAAATGATCTTTTAACTGAATTTCCTTTTTGTTTTCTTTTTCCGTTTGATTTATATTTACAATCTTTTGTCTATCTGTCATTTTCATAAAAGGAAGTTTATTTGTTATTACACATTAATTGCATCTGTTTTGAATGAAAGAGCTTTGTTGTTGAAGCACTTATGCATTAGCATTTAAAGTAGTTAGTATTTCATAGCTCATATATAGTAAGTAAGTAAAGTATATTATGGTAAGGAAGAGCAAATTTAAACAAATTAGCAATTCAATAATTTGCTTCCTTTCATTTAATCTTTTCTTTTCATATTTTCCTCCTACATTTGTCTTCTTTTTTTTTTTTTCTTTTTTTCCAAATGATTCGAAAAATTAGACATCATATTAGCACTATTTCAAATTGCATTGCATTTATGAAAGAAATGAAAAGAAACACTTGAAATTTTAAAAAAAAAATGGAAATATATTTTTGAAAAAATTACTACAAAAACTGGAATTTCAGAATTTTTTGAGAATACATATATCTACGGTTTTCGAACATTCATAAATATTTCCTTGCGTGACGACATTTTTTTTCTTTTAATCTAAAATCCGTGATAAAATAAAAACATCATTTTATCATTTTAGCTCGAAACTATATTATGATATTTATTGAGGTTTTATATTTAACATGATGTAATTAAGCAGTTATTCTACTTGCTGCAAACAATTTGTTAAATGTAGCAATTTTCTCGACATCTCAATTGTTTTAAAATTAATTATTCACTCTTTGAATGAATTATTTCCCATTTTCGCATAATTTATTCTTTGTTATTCTAAATTGACAACTGAAAATAATGTCTATTATAAATCACTATAATATATATGATGTTAGAATATAACAGATCAGCGTTATCACATATCCCGTGGGATTATCTTTTTGACATATTGTTATAATGAAATAATACAGTGACTTATCTTTCATCACAAAATATAAATGATTTTTTCCATATACTTAGTGGAAAAACTGTTTCGGACAGGTGAAAAGTCTTTTTTTTTCTCCCTCTTTTAAAAACTTAGAAAATGATTAGAATTATTCTGAAATCTCTGAATTATAGATGATTTAGATGGGATGATGTTATGTTTTTGACATTTTATCGTTTGCAATTGTCATATTATTCTTTTAACTAAAATTTAAGACTGCAAAAGAAAAAGACACCTGTCGTTGTAACATCACATTCTCCAATCTATACATTTTGACAATATTTTAAAGTCAGATTAACAGTCAGATAATATTTCAGAAATGAATGTTGTTTTCATATGAATCTTTCATAGTGAATGTTTTACATATGATTTTATATAATGATTTATCCATTCCTTTCGTTACTTCTTCTTATCTTCCTTTTTCTTTTACGTAATAATTTTAGTTTGTTTTTAGTGAAATTAGAAATTAAATTGTTAAATATTACTTAGTTATGAAAAAGTAAAATTTAATGCGATAAATGTTGAGAATAATATAGAATTTATAATGAAATTATGAGCTTTATTGTATTTTTAAAGCTAACTGCTTCAAGAAATTAAAAAAGAAATATCTTGGATATGGTACTCAATAAAATCGTCATCGTTCGATAGCAATATTCTCGAATGAGTCCTCTCAATTCATTCATCGGTTTGAATTATTGCTTTTTTTTCCATTTAAAACATTCTAACAGTCACGCAATAACCAATAGAATTTCATAAATATGCACTAAAAAAAAAGAAAAAAAATTTTTTTTTTTTCTTTCATTATTTCTGTCTTATTCTTTTACCGTTTTTGGAGTCTTTTTTATCTCGGAATGCATGTGATATGGTGAAACCAATTAACTTTTGAGTAATTTGAGTAAAATATTTTAATAGCTTATAGATTAAAGCATTTAACAATTATATAAAATCCTGAAGTTTTTATATAATTCATAAAATCATAATGAAATTTCAATCATTATTTTAGTATATTGATAAAGTTTGATCAATTCGTTGTTATTGTTATTGCTGTTATTATTGTTACAATTGTTATTTGCTATGCCTAAAAATGTTGTGTTGTAAAGCATTTACATTTTACCCTTGTTAGAAATTTTTGAATTTTAAAAAGTCTGAGTGAATAATTGTGCACTTATTGTTTTATGATATAATTTCTAATTTTCTAGAAAGAATGATTTTTTAAGGTTTGTTGTTTACAAATGTAAAAAATATTTATGTCGTCGATATGATGATTAAGTTAATTAATTTCAGTATGGTTAATTAGGATTACATCTTAATATTGTTGTGGAGAGGATCAAATAACAGCGACGAATTATTTTGGCTTCGATAAACGAATAGCAAATATATAGAAGCAAAATAATTTACCTCGTTTTGTTTGTGAGTGGATAAATATAGCAATGCATCATCATCAAATAACGATGATAATGACAATAACAATAATAATAATAATAATAATAACAATAAATGCTATGGTAAAAATAATATTGCAAAAAATATTTTTAGTTTATTATTATCATCATTATCAATATTTTCAGGTTCATTATTGATTTGCTAGCTGAATATCATTCATAGTAGAAATTTAATTATTAAGACATCAGTGATATTTTACGACTTCATTTGTTATTCTTCTTTGTCTGTGAATTAATTAAATAGCATAACGAAGAGAAGGTCTGTCCCACTGCATTTGACGATTATCCTAAGATGCAAAAGCAAAATTAAAACTAAATGAATGTGTTGTGGATTAATCTGTCATCTATTTCAATGAGTCATTTTCAATGGTAACGAATTTTAGCTAGGAAAATTACGAATGATTAATTAGTTATAACATTCACTAGTATATTATAAAGTTATGACAGGGAATACTATCGACACATTTGCAACAGGTTTTTGGCATTTATAATTTTCGGAATATAATTTCAGTTTAGAAGTACAATTTGAGGAAATAGCTTTCCATTGATTAAATTGATTTAATTTTAGTTTCTCCTACAATCCATAAATTTACGCTCGAATTCCAAATTAACTATCATTTTTCTCTTCTTTATACTGAATTGAAATTACTCATCCCTTTTTTTCTGATTCCCACACTGCTAAAAGTACATGTGTAAATTATTAAGCCAGAAAAGATATGAAGTACATCTATTTCTAAAATGATCTGGCCCTATTTGACCAAAATTTGGCTCATTATTTCCCTACGCAAATTACTTCCCTATTTGAAAATACAGTTACCTTCCCACTTGTATATATCTGCCATCAGTTGAAACTATAGCTGAACAAATACCACTTATTTCAAAAAAAATGAATATTACTATTAAATTAAAAAAATAGAAATCCCATGTTACTTTCAAAATCTTATTTACATTATTACTTGCACACTTTAAAATAAAATTTATCATTTAATGCATCAGTTAATGCAAATTTTCTATCAAAAATTTTGAAAATTTCTAATTTTTGTTCCTTGCATGTTTATATTATCAATATGGCGAAATAAACCTGTCAAAAGGAAACTTAACACTAAGTTTTTTCTTTAATTTATACTTGTCTTAATGAACACATAAAAACAAGATATCTATGACTGAAATGCTTCATTTAAGTTGGGTAACATCAGAATAAACCTTTTTAATAAGCAATTTGTTGTATTTTGATCAACTTAAGTTTGCTCTCCTTTGCTAATGAAGAGAATTCACATTGGTATAAAAAGTAAAACTGGAAATGAAGTTAAATTAAATGTCAACTTTTTTTTAAGCATGATTTATCAGATTCTTCATTTTGATTAAGTTACTATTGAAATTTACCTAAATTTTGTCCCACTAGTACCGATCTATTTTGAAAAGTAATTCCGATAGCACTATGAGCAATTTTATCATACATCAAATTATCATGGTTAAATTCCTCGGCTGATTAAAAATTGTATTGTCAGAGATTTGAGACATCTTAAATAAATTGAGAAATTATGTTGTCAATTCTAGATGTTTCCAGATGTTTGTCATTGACCATTTTTCTAATCGACAATAAATAACTCAAGTTTTTGCTTTTAATTTTGATAGATCGAAACATAGATAAATGGAATGATAAAGTTTTCAACAGTTTATTCTTTCTAAACCAAAAAATGTTCGTTTGATCTCAGTGCGCTATTTTCTACAGATAGAAACTAACTCTATCAGAAAGAAAAATCTATCATGAAATAAGAAAATTCCTTGCACTTTCTTCCTAAAGGTATGACACTTTTAATGCTCGTAAAAGTTTTGTTAAAATAGCATAAAAGTTAAAATGTTATTGAAAGAACAAATGCTAGTTCACCTGCCATGTTTCTCAAATATCGTCATTTCCTGTAGTTGTCATTTCGTTTAATTTAAGTAATTTTGATATTGCAAATTACTGCGACATTTAAGTTCTATTATTCTAATTTTTGATTTTTTGAAAATGATTTCGAAACTAGATGAAAATATAAATGATTTTAGAAATTCATTGGAAATTGAACTTCCAAATATAATTTAAATTTCTATCATAAATAAGCTGAATAATAAATATATCGATGAAGCCAAAAGTAAGCTGAAGGAAGCAAAAAGGGGGAGAAAAAAAAAAAAAGGAAATTGAAAAATATTGCCTTATTTTTTCTTTTTTCTATTTTGAACTTTGAAAATTGAAAAGTTATTATTTCACTTTTAACATTCCTCAGTGAATTCATTTTTTTTTTTACCTAATTTTTAATCATTTCAGCTACCTCGCTGTAATTATAGTTGGCGTAATTGGTGCACTCATACTGTTGACGGTAATGACGATGTGCCTTTGTAAAAATCTTTCATTTTGTCCTATGAATGCTGCCAAATCAAGTAATTCTTCTGTTTTTTTTTTTTTTTTTTTTTTTTGTTTACCTCAAATTCTAATTAAACCATTTAAGCAAAATTATTAATATGAATTAAAACTATGTCTTTTCAAATTTTGATATTTTTATTACTCCAATTTTTTCAATATAAAATTTTTGCGTTTTAATTTTCATTCACATTTATCATAATTTAACTTTTATTTTTCAGCATGCTCAACAGCACAGGGAATACAGCAGCGTTACCGTCCTGTAGATACGTTATCCACGAAACCGGTCACTTATGAAGGTTTCTTTTCATATTAGATTTTTTATACTTTACGCAAGGTTACCGTAAAAATTTGAAAAAATTGGAGTGATAAAAATATCAAAATTTTTTTATTTATGCATATCATTGATTTAACAAAATTATTTCTGTCAAATAAATGACAATTTAAAGTGCATGAAAAAAAAAAAACAAAAAAAATATATCAATCCATTTGTTTATTTTGCACCGATTGCTTACGACGAAAATTATATTTGCAAGTATTTCATGAAATTTTACTATTAAATATAGTGAAATTTTAAGAAAAAAAATTTCTTTTTAAATTACCATATACATCATTTAGCTATTCCTTTTCTAAACTTATTTTTTAACAATTTATGTTGTTTTTCCCATCCTTTTTTGTGCTAAAAGCTGGGGATGCTTTATTTGATTAAATTCATAAATATCCCATGGGTGCATAAATTTCGAAGTGTTGGGAAGGAAGGATTAAAAGAAGAGAAGGAAAGAAAAGAGAATAAGCTAATATGGATAGGAAGTTTAAAAAAAAAAAAAAAAAATGAAAAAGTAAGGAAAGGGCGAAATTTTTGCAAATTTCCCAATGGAATCCTTTTGTTTAAAGCTTGCTAAGCTTTAAGCTTAAGGCTAAGGGACGTTTTTTTTTTTTTTTTTTCATCTAGTTGTTAATTTTCTGAAGTTATCTAAAAATGTAATGAAAGAAAAGGAAAAAAATCATTGCAATTATTTTGGACTGAAATCTTTTTATTTTGAAAAATTTGAAATCTTCCCCTTAATAATTTTTCAAACAAAGTTGTTCTTAAATTTTTTTTTTTTTTTTTTTATTTCGAAAATGAATTGTTCCACTGTTCTAAGAAAAGCTAAAATATTCATTGTAAACGTTCAGTTGGGTCACATTAAAAGCTATGTTTCATTTCAGATAAAAATACAAATTATGTCGTAATTTAAAGGTTAAAATTAAATAAGGTGAAGCATATAGATTAAACTTTACTTTTAGTTAAATTTTGTGTTTAATCGTAGCTGTTTAATTTTGAAATCAAAAGTTAGCTTTAGCTTATCTGCTAATTAATTCAACTTATTGCTGAATTATGAAATATATTTAAAGCATTCGTAAATATTTTTCTTACATTACTTTAACGTAAGACAACCTTGGCTGTTCGATTAGCCATTTTGCTTTCCGTGACAGCTGGAATAAACACCGGGACACTGAGAAAAGATGGTAGAATTAAAAATCAGATTGAAAAAAATAAAATCAAATAAAAATCATATTCATGTTTCTATCTACAATTTCGCATACATTCTATCTTCTAAATTAGCTTAAGCCAACTGCTATGAATTTCAATCTTTTCGGCATTTCTGAAAAGAAGTGAATTTTTTTTCAAGCTTTATTGAATAAAATTCGAAATTTTCATATTTCATTTGTCGGCTAACTGTAATGAAGTTAGGAGCCTATGTTAGTGTATATTTGTGATTTATAGCCTTTGAGCTTTGGCCTCAGTTTGCTGAATTAAACCTTTGCATGATGAAGCTTTTAAAGGGATATGCAGCTTGGTCAATTATAGATGATGTGGACATATTAGTCATGAAAGTCGCCTATTCCGACTCATAACTTGTGAACATTGTTTTTGCTTGAAAGAAATATGAGAATTGAATGAATGGGATTGGATTGATTCAGAATTGATTAAGGATGAAAAATTTTTGCAATCTGATAGGACAGAAATGATTTAAGAATGGAATATAAATTTAGAGTTGAAAAGTTGAACCTTATTTTATTTTCAGTTTGAACATCATTCTTCAGGGAAAAGATAGAAACAAAAACACATCATTCTAATAAATGAATACGATGGAAATAATTTGATCAAATTACACTTAACAAAGGATGTTTTAGTTTCACTGCTTAAGTAGGAAAAGAAAATGTCAAAGGATGGGGAAAAGGAGGGAAGGTTGAAGGTCTGTCTCTAGGGAGATTAACAGGAAAAATCTGATGTCAATCCAACCACTCTGTCTTCTCCTTTTTCCGGCATGCCACAAATTGAATATTCTTTCGAAGGCATTTGCAGATAAATGGTTCGTGATTGCCACTGCATAAATAATGAAATTCGCAGTAACAGAATGAAATTCCAACTTCGTTTTCCTCTCTTGGGATTGTAGGATGGTTGAAAGAAGCATCTACACTTTCCTGTAACACACTTATTCAATTTCCGGAACACTTAATCCTGTTACAATAAACAATGAATTCCATTAATCCATCGTATAGAGCTATAGAGAAATCGCAATTCAAAGGCTCAACAAAATTTTAATGAAAGTATTAAAATAATATAAGTAATGAATGGATGGATATCAGATATATTTTAACTTTTTATTCTTTCACAGTGTAATAAAATCCACCTAACTTATCTACAGTATCTAATCATTATCATTTGAATATCTCAATAAAATATCAAAATGATAATGATCAAATATTGCCTAATCTTATGAACATACAGGATGAGCGATAAGCAAGTAAACAATTTATTGTCTCTGACTGACCATGAATAAATATGATTGCCAAATGTGCAATTGATTTAACAGCCAAAATATAAACATCTCTTAACTATCCACGCAAAGGTCATCTAATTAACTGGAGCATTGCAAAAAGCGCTCTGTTGATTGACTAAATGATCCTAGCTGTATTGGTCCTAGTTATATTATCATAACGATTATTGAGAGTATTTTTATCATGCCACATTTTTAATAATACTATTTATCTTATTCTCAAATTATTTTTCTGAAGTTTTTAATATAATTAAAATTGCTTTCACTTAAAGTAAAAGTTTTAATTCCTTTCAGACTGTCTCTTTATGAATCTAAATTTAATATTCACACTAAAATCATAAATTATTACTTTGAGGAACTGCTCGTTTTTAATATAACTTAAAAGAAAATGAATGAATGCATAGATAATGCTAAACTACGGTAACTGTTAAACTGCGAATTTTATGTTGTAATCAGATGATGAATTTTTACACTCCTTTAAATTGAATCATATTTTTTAATTTGTAGAAATTACACGCTTTATAGGATTTTAATTCCTGCAAGTCGTAATTGTCTGATAATGAGATTAACTGTCTCCTTTAAAAAAAAAGGTTTAATTGAATTCTGATTTAACTGAAACAGATTAATTAAAATCTAATTTCCATTGTAATCATAATTCATGATTTCGTATCGTATTTTGAAGAATTTTTCTTAGTTAGGAATAAAGATTTAGTATCATAGTTATAGCACTAACAATCATTAATTTTGAGCATAAGATTTGATAATTATCATCCGTTCCTTATTAACTGGACGTATTTATCTTATATTCTTATAACCTTGAGAAATTTGAAGTAAAATGTAAGCAGAAAGTCAAATTGAAGTCTTTAAATTAAATTAAAAAAAAAAAAAAAAAAGAAAAGATTTCAGCAGAAAGTAAAACGCTTTTGAATAATATTTCTGTTATCACTGAGAATAAACGATTTGTATCGTTTATCCGGAAAACAGATATGAAACTGAAAATACCAAGTCTTCCATTTTGACCAGCAAATTGCAAAATTGCCAATATTTTTTATTCTCATTCAAAGAAATATCGTTTTGGTTTAATACAATACCTAATTTTGTATCCTTTTCAATTTATTTCAATCAAATTACAAATCATACTTGAAGTAACAGTGAATAGAATGTTTATTTTTATTGTTTATTGCTATGTGGTATTGTCAAAAATACTTTAATTGTCATTTATCAGTGTTAAAAATTTCAAAATATCATTTTGGTTTATTTTGTCTGCATTCCTTTTTTTCAAATCAGCCCATTTGTTTATTTGTACTTTTCGAAATTCCAGCTCCACCACCATATGAAAGTTCGCTAGATGAAGATCCACAACGAAGAAATGATTGGCATTGTTTATTGGAAAATCAAGTTAACGATACAAGGCAAGACGGGGCAATATTTCAGTGATCAGGGCATTTTTTTTCCCCCTTTTGCTAGGTTTTATCGTTTTTTTTTTTTTTTTTTTCATCAAAATTATAATTCATTTTAGTAGCATCCTCTTTTATTTTTAAATTAAGTAGGAATTCATAAAATATGTTGTAAACTGCACTTATTTTACCTTCAAACGTTTGATTTTAGATGAAAAATTAAACATTTTAGAATTTTTCTCACTTTTTTGTCCCGAATGCTACTTTATTGAGATTTCCAATATTTTTCATGCCCTTTTTTTTTTACTACTTTCTCCTTTATACTGTAATTTTTCTGTTTCCAATGGTGCTTATTTGTTTATCACAAAAATTTTCTCAACAGTTATCATTGATTGATTGTCACATTTTATATACCAAATGTTTTTTTTTTGCTATCATCCAAAAAAAAAAAAAAGAATTTTTTCAGATAAACTAAAAAATGAAAACATTATAAAAATATTTCCTAACACACTTACCTTTTCTGTTTTTTCTCTCTTTCTTCTGTATATAAATATATATTTTTTCTTTGAACATTATGATATCTTGCTTGTCTTAATTTTTTTTTTTAAAAAAGAAAGGAAAAGAAAAGATAATATAAGAGGAAATTCTTGTTGTGGTTAGAAAATCTCGGGAAACTTAAAGCATTTTAAAGCTTTTTTTAGAAGATTAAAAGATAACGTCATATTTTTAAAATGAAACACAGATTAAAGTAAACCACTTTATTTTGTAACTTATCCTTTTCTTAAGTTTATCAGAAAATTTTCCACTGAAATATATCACACTTTTAAAATTTTGGAATATGAAAAGGAAAGAGAAAGAAACCAATTTGCCGAGAAGTTAATTTTCTTTTCATTTTTCATTATTGAAACAAAATTAGGCAAAGGGTTGTTGGTATTGCAAACTATCAAAGTACTGTAACATCGCATGATACTGTAGTGATGTACGTTACAGTACCGCGAGTTACAGTAGTAATGTGCGTTACAGTAGTGCTATATTTCAGCATGTTACATTTTAATAAAGGGGAAAAAAAAAAACAAAAAAGGTATATTCATTTTCATGAAATTTTAATGCCTTATACAAGCAGTTGGTTGTATATACAATAATGTACCATTCATTTTTCTTAAATTTTTACATTTTTTCTACGTTTACGTACGTTTATTCATCCATTTTCGTATTTTGTATTTTTGGTAATGTTTAGCCTAATGCAAGGAACATATCTGGAATTTTTGTTGAAAATTTTAAAGGTCAGCAAGTGATTTATTGATAATAGAACGGACAAAATTTTGTGTTATCATTATTCTCTTTTTTTTTGGAATTGAAAAAGTGGAAATTATTTTTAATTCAAGTTTGTTGCAACAAAGAATAATTGTATGATATGAGAAAAAGGAAAAGGAAAGAAGGAAAAATTTGCGGGAGTGTTCAGAAAAACTGAGGTTACAGGAAACTTATAAGCCATAATTGATGGAATTGTTAACTGATATTACTGCAAACAAACAGCAGATAAGAAATGGATAGTGAAAGAAGAAAGGAAATGAAATTAATTAAAATAATTGGTTCCAAACATGGTTAACATTTGATAACACTTCCTTAATCCAACATCTGTAATGGAAAATGCATGTTGTTGCAAAATTAATGACAAAATTTCGATTAAATTTATCGAGAATGAATGAATTATGCAAAATAAACAAACAAATAGGATTACTGTAAATGATGTAAACATTTGAAAGGCACAGAAGAGTACAATATGAAAGACAATATGATAGGAAAGTTTGGAATCGAGAAGCTTCCTTCAATTACAGAAGGAAAAATTATTTGTTAAAAGTGCTTAAGTTGTAAGGGTTGCAGTCGATTGACTATGATGGCAATATGTAATCGAATGAATGGAAATAGTTGCAAATTCGTTTTAAAAGGATTTTTTTTTTGTAAAACCTATCAGAAACTTCTGGAACACTGTGAATGATAGTTTGATGAAAATCGAGCATCACATAAATGACAAAATGTTAAGTTTCTTATAATCAACATGATAATACCTATTTAGGAATGAATTCGATTTGTTTATGTCAATAACAGATGATATTGGTGTTAATATATTATAAATAGCAATATTGAAATAATTAGACGCTTTGACAGTTATGACGAAAACATGAGCGAATTTTAGGCTTATAATAAACATAAGCCCAAATTGCTAGCAAAGCTGTAAGTGAAACCGGTATAGCAATCACACCAGCACTTACCATTCCGGCTTGTAACGTTAATACTGCTCCACCGATAGCTGCTGATGCAGCTGATCCAAGACCCATACCTAGTTTAAAAGAAAAAAAGTTATAAATGCAATAATTATAAATGCAGATGAAAAATTTAAAAGATAGTACCGAAAAATACGGAATCACCACATGCGATCATACGTGACACACAACTTGTCACACGTTTCTCTTTGTTCAATCGCTTGTACTTCTCTAATTCGCTCTGCAATAATATTGTAATAATGCAAAATTTATTGTTAAACTTTGGAAAATAATACAACACACAATAGAAAGTTGAAATACAACGGTAAAATTAATAATATTTTTGATTTGTTTTGTTTGAAATTTTCTTAATCTTCGCTTTTTTTTTTTTTTTTTTGGAAATATTTGTTACATTTAGATTTTGTTGTAGCGTTGAGAGATTTCTGGATCGAACTTCACTGCTTCCCATCTTTGGATATTTTTCAAAAATATTCAAAGCTATAATACCATATTTAATGTGTGCTTCATGAAGTCTTTTTTCCGGTAACATTCCTGATTTTAAACAAATCTGAAATATTTTCAATTATTTTAGAAAAGAAAGCATCCTTTAAATTTAAACAAATTTTTACAGCTATTGATGATTTATACGAGACGAATAACAATCATATAACAATGATCATTTTGAAAATAATTTAAATACTTTAGCTTAGAATTATTTTTACAATAAATTGCTTTGAAATTTCAGATGAAATTTAAGAATAATTATGATTGTTACCCGATCCATTCCCCGGACATATGCTATTTTTGCTTCACTTGCTGCTTCCAAATATATTAATTGGGCATTTGTGTCTAAGATCATTTGTGGCTCCGGTATCACACAACTGTCGAATGTCTTGGCAAACTCCTAAAAAATTTCCAGCAATTTCTAGATATTATTTCATTTCATTTCCACGGCTTTTGTCTTTCATTATTTTTTGATCAGTTGTAATTTTATATTTCTCTGTATAAAAATGAAATTTTGTAAAAGAAAATAACAGGAAAATAAACCCTGAACATATCCGTGATTTTCCTGCATGTCACCGTCTTTCCGTTTACGATTTTTGGTTGCAATGCTTGTGGATTCAAAAGATGTGCGGTCATTTTTTTCACCTCCTCTTTAAACAACGGTTTTATATCTGGAAATACTTTTATGATTATTCTTTAATTTGTTCAGTTACACTTTTTTTCCTACAGAACTTTAATTTATTACTTTTTCTTTCGTGAAATAATTGATTTTGAACGTTTTATCAGTTCGACTCGATTTATTTATTTATGAGATTACCTTTTACAAGCCCTCTGAAGGATTCATGATCTGCAACTCGATGACCTGGATGTGGTAATAAAAAACATAACGTTTGTTCGAAACAACTTTGAATTTCCCTTCGAACAGCCCTCAATTCATTTGACTGAAAAAAATTAGACAAAAAATGATGCCTAATGTTCGTTCAATCGCTACAATTTAATTCTCAGGTGAAATTTTTTTTTTTAAATTCAAAAGTTTTAAACTAACTCAAAAATGTTCAACCAAACTAACAAATATTGTGAAACATGAGAAATTCTTCAATTATGATAACTACTTGAATATCACTATTGGAAAATACAATAAACCTGATAAGATGATGATGTTTGGAGCATTGTTTTGAGGTATTCCATACCACCTTCAAATCCATATGAGCATTCTTCGGATGATTTATAATCTCGGACAACAAAAACAATTGTCTAAACATTGAATCTTTTTTCCCTTCCAAGTAAAAAATTTTGATAAAATATAAAAAATTGAAGTAACTTTCTGTTGATTGCTTAACAAATAATATCAACAATTCCAAAAAAAAAAAAGACCGCCCAAATTTTGATACTTCAAAATTGATGCTTTAATTATTTAAGTCTTGTTGATTTTGAAATTGACGCTTTAATTGTTTAAATCTTGCTGATTTTTATACATAATAAAATTTGCAATGATGTTAAGTGAATATTAGCAATCATTTTGAATTGTTATTAGATAAAATAAAATATTTGGAAACCTGAAAAGGTGGTTTGAACTTGTTAGCTTCATCTAATACTAATCGTCCATACTCAACAAAAAGTGATAAATTTGAAAGTGATTCTTCAAGTATTGTTTCAACGATGTTATAAACTTGTATCGAACTAAACAGAGTTGACAATGCGAAGATGGTACTGGACATTTGATATGGTAGTGCTGCATTATCTATTGTACCCTGTGTATCCATCTATAATATGAAACGATTTTTCAATAATAATATATTTGTAATGAAAATAAATAAATAAAGTGTGAAATTCGAAATAATGAAATATGCTATATATTTAATTTGATTTAGTAAATAATTTAAAAAGAAAAAAATTATCCAACAAGAAAAAAAAAAATTAAATTTTGATGAAGTAAAATTAATAATTTTTAAGTAACATTGAAATAATTAAAAATTTCAACCAACCAATACAACAGCATATGTTTCACCGTTTGCTGCTTCAATCATTATTGGTTCACCCCAAATCCATATTCCTGCTGTGTCACGCTTCATCCCGGGTCTCCAATGAAAGCCTCCTAAGTGAGAATCATCCAAAAGCCATTCCAAAGTTGTATCATTCTTTAAAAAAATATAAAGAATAAAGATAAAAATTAAGTCAAAAATGAATATAATTTATCAAATTTAACTAATCAATTTTAATTTCAAATTACCTGTTGCGATTTTTGTAAGCTATACAAGTAATCGAGAAATATATTAAGCAGAAAACTTTTGCCTTTTCGAAATGCACCTGCTACACTAATTATTACCACCTGAAAATTAAATAAATTACAAATATTTCATAATTAAATTTTGATTTAAAAAGTTAATAATAAAAATAAAATTGGAAGCATTAAGGATATAAAAATTTGATAAACTTTTTTTTCTTCTTTTTTAATGTTACAGAAAATTAGTTTATTTTGAATTAGAATTTCATTGAATAAATGAATAAATATCTTCTTATTAGCAATGGATGAATGTCCAAGCACAGAAGTAAGTGAATTCTCCAAAAATTTATAACGATTAGGTTGAGATGAAAGAGGAGCAATTATTTGCACAGGATGGACTTTATGGCGATGTTCTATCTGGTCACGGGTGCTAAATCCGGCTTGAAACGGTGCCGTTATGTCGAATGACATTACATCAGCAAATCTGAAACTTTCAAATATTAAAATTCAAATTTTATGAAGTCTTTCCAATATCTTTTTAAAACGACTCGGCAGAAACGCAGAGCTAATCGCTTAAGTTTAATTTAATTTAATTCAAATTAAATTAGTTTTTTACATTATTCCTATTTTACTATGAAGAAAAAAGAGTCATATGAATGTGAATTATTCAAAGATTAAAAATGATTTCGTTAAAATATTTTGAAAATTTTGATCATAATTATGATATCATGAATTATTTTCAAAATTTATTATTTTAATCTCTCATTGTCTGCCAAAAATTAATATATTTCAACAACAATAAATAAATTATATATATATATATACCAAAAGACAAATCATTCCTTATAATGGCAAAAATAAATCTGAAACTTTTTTATAACTCAAAAACAGTAGCAAAATAAAAACAATTTTTCCTTCCAATTTTTCCACTTTTAAATTTAAGTTAAATCTCGAAAATACATTCATCAACCTACTTTTACTTTTTATTTTTTATTTGCATGGATTAGAAGCGATTAATGAAGCTTGTTACTTTCTCAAAATCTAATAAAATTTCCAAATTAACAGTAATAAAATGTTTTATTCTTTTCAAATGAATCTTTTTTCGAATATTTAAATTAATATTCCAAATTTTTATCACTTATTTCCTTTTCTTTTTTTGTCGCTCCCCTAAATGATAAGGAATATCACCTTTCAATATTCTTGTCTGGTGCTTATATTCTTTTTAAAAAAGGAAAAAAAATAGAAAGATGTTATAAAAGATAAATATTACAGAAGTATTTCACTAGTAATCTTCCCAAAAATATGGTTAAAATAAATCTGAATGTTACTTACAAAATAAAAATTAATTGACAATGCAATCTTAATTAGAAAGATGAAAATCCGATGAGATATTCATTAATTAATTAAAGGTTATTTATCGATCGCTGATGAAAATTAAAGGTAACAAAAAATGAAAATACAATCTGTATGAAAGGATGAAATAAAACTTCAAAATTTTCTTCTCATCCACACTTGTTACCATTGAAAATTGATCCTAAACTTTCTTTTAAATTTTACTCAATTTATTCCGATTCTTGATTTATTCAAAAAGTTTTCTATTCTAGGAGAAAACATAAAAGACTAAATTCAACGATATGACAGGAAGCCGAAAAAGTATCGATGATTTAATTGGTGATATGAGCAATTATAATTGAAAAGAAAAGAAAGAAATGCAAATGTGACAATTGTTATTTAAATTTAAATTATACACTCGAATTTAGTTCAGTAAAACCATGTGAAATCGTTGTTATCACTAGTGATATGCACATTTATTATTAATTAAGAAGGAATCGATATTATTTGAGAAATTTTGCTAATAAATGGATCAATTTTAATCGTTTCACTGTAAAGGAAAATGAAAAAAAAAAAAAAAAGGAAACTGATGATATGGAAGAATAATTAACTTAATGGAAATGTTACTTTAATTTCATCGAGCAGTGCAAAATCTCTTCATTGACTATAAATAACAATCCTTTATCGCTATTTGAAGGAACTTTGCACTGTTAGATAATTATTATTTAATATATATTATTTATTATTAACATTGTTATTGTTATCAGTATTATTTATTTACTTAGTTACTATTATTATTAATTGATTAATTAAGAAGTAATAATCGATATTAAACTGATTGTCATCCAAGCAGTTGTCTGAAATAAGATAATGTTGAAATGGACAAATCTTGCAAAAATCTTAATGCTTTATTTTTTATCGTTTAGTTAGAAGTAATTTTGAAGTTCAGATGAAAAAAGTGGTATAAATATAGCATTGCTATTTCAATTAAATGTTAGCAAAATCGAAAGTTAAAAAATACCGACAAAGATATGAACATTTATTCATTCTCAATCATTTTAAAATATAAAAATGTAATTGTTTTTTTTTTTTCTTTTGAATATAAAAAAATTACTTTTAAATATAAAAATGATAAAACAAATGGTGCAAGCAAAGATTTACGTTTATAAAACAGTGCAAAGAAAGATTATAAATGACAACTGAATATGTATTAAAAAAACATTCTGACCAATGAGGTGATACAAATTTGAATAAGAAAGATTTAAAAAATGACTAGATGAATTTGAAATATACTGTTTGAATAAATGCAAATAAGAAAAATATATATATTCATATGAAATTTGATTTATTATCATAATCTGATAATTTTAAGTGATAAGAAGAAATACGAGGTGATTGGATGTATTTGTAATGATTGTATGAATTAATGCATAAATAAATAAATATGTGTAATGGGAAGAAATGGAAAATTAGATGAAATGAATAAGCTTATAATTAATCAATTAATAAAGTAAGTAAATAAATTTATTGAAACTTATGAGTAAGTATAATATTTCTATTCGCTTATCAATATATTAAATCATAATGCTACAATAAATTAGACATTTGGAATAATTAAAGTTCAGTGGGAAAAATTCCTATCGGAAATGGGAACAAATCGTAAATGATTGGTAAATAGGAAAACATTATAAGTTATATTTGCTTGCTTACAAATGCTTATTTATTCAATGAAATGGAACAAAATTTCTTCTCAATCATTCCACTACATTCAATCCGGAAATTTGATTATAATCTAAAGTTAACTGATTCTTACCTTAAGCTATTACACTAATCGTTTGCCCAAAAAAAAAAAATTGGCAGATTTTAGATTAAAAATGTATAATTTTAGAAGAAAAAAAATCTATAAGCTTGCTATTCGTTGATTTTAAAATGGAAGTAATATCGTAATTGAAGTTAAATCAGCAAACCTCATTCATTCTTGCTTACTTCATCAATTTTTCTAATTTTCTTTGTTGCTTATTTTCATTTCATTGTTTTTATTTGCTTGCCTTCGTCTCTGCTCATTTTCCACTCTTTATTTACTATATAGTATTTCATTTAGCATTCAACACTCTTTCATGATTCTATTATGTTTATGGGAATTAAATTGAATTAAATTAAATTTTAGAATTATGTTTAATCAATAGAAATATATTTTCTTTACTAGCACATCTTTTTTTTTTTATCACTTACTTTTAATGCAAATGAGGAAGTAGGTAGAATGTTTTATTTACTAACTAATATTAATTAATATATATTAGTGAAAGTGCAGAGTTAACGGAAAAAAAAAAGAGAAAAATTCAGTAATCTGAAATTAATATTTCATATACTGATGAATACAGATTACATTGATATTGACTTTCGGATATAGCGATAGATAAAAATTTAGGATTTAATTTTTTCAAATTAGCAATACCAATGTCAAATGATCAGTACCTGTTTTAATCTCATTTATTCATTAAATCATCCTAGATATTGATAGCTTTAAAATTAAAATCATGGAAACATTTTCATAGTCACAAAGCTTAAACTGAGAGAATGTTTATTTGTTAGTGGTTGGCGTAGTAATATGAGCAACTGAAAATTAGTATGTATTTGATTGAGTAAATAACATTCTCGTACTTAACGTCATCATCAATAAAATAAAAGATTTTTAATGCTTTTGAATATTAGGTAATTAAATCTTTTTCTATTCCTATTCAAAGTTTAATTATAAAAATGAAATTTAAAAACATTATGCACTCATCACTCAACTTTACGTATCTTTCCAGCTGCTCATCCAATTACAACTCTTCCATTCTCAATTAAAGTGTTTTATATATGCGAGAAAAAAAAAAAACAGCAAATCTCTTTTTTCTAGTTAACAAAAAAAAAAACTCATTTGATTTTGTCTAAAATTGAATTTCTGACAACTTATTATTCAAAAATGAAATACTAACAATGGTTAAATGGCTTACTTTTCTTTTTTTTTCCCATTTCTTTTTTAAAAAAAATAAAATAAAATAAGAAATGGAAAGAAACTTTATTTTTATTGAAACTTTTTTCAATTTTAATTTTGTGTTTCATTTATATACTATTTTCTATCAGCCATAGTTCATTCATAACACTGTTATTTTCGATGGTCGAAATGCATTCATTAATTTTGTCTTTTAATTTCAAAGCATATAAAATAGTTAAATGTATTTTATTTTTCGTTCTTTTTTTACACAAAATATGAAAAGCAAAAAAAAAAATCTAATGGAATGTTGTAAAATGCCATGTGTCAATCATTTAATAACGATCGTTAGTTGGGAAGTCTTTGAAGTGATCATATGTCAACTATACATATTAAAAGTATAAGTGATTGATGCGTAAGTTTTTTTTTTTTTTTTTTTTCAAAAATTTGTCAGTTTCATCTTAATAGCAAATTGTTTTTCATTAAATTTCACAAATTCTGCAAATAAGGTATCATTAAAAACTTATTTCTTCCTGTTTGTGATATTATGAGATCATGTCACGCCAATTTTGATCAACTGTCATCTCAGCGATCATAGAAAAAAAAAAAAAATTTTAACTATATGGAAATGAATTGTTTAACATGTTGCTATTATTCTTAATTGAAACTCATAAGAAATAAATGACGTCGACAAAATTGGCTTTGTTTACGATCCATAAACATTATTGCTAACTGCAATGTTTCGTTTCAGAAAATGGCGGAAATTGTCAAGGACAAAAATTGGAAGCAATTAGTGAAATATTTCTTTAAAATTTTAATGAAGTTTAACTCCATCTGATAGCAATTGTTGCTGTTTAATTTCTTATAAAATGCAAAATGTTAGTGCCAAAGATTGTGTCTGTGATGATCAATAATACTTCAAAAATCAAAAAATCAAAATATAATTTTAGATAATAGTGATAATTAGTAAACAAATAAATATGGAAAAATAAAATAATACATAATCTATCATTATATTTTCTGTCCTGAAAAATTTATTAATTTTGGAGATAAAACCGATTTCTTTCCTTACAATTTTTGTCATTTTTCATCAAAATTTGCATCATTTTGAAATCTATGCACAATATCCAATATAAATATTTTTTTTTACGTTGATCATGAACTC